ATTTCTTCAACAAAAGGGTTGTCAGGCATTGGACCAGGCTGCCCAGGGAAGCGGTGGAGTCCCCGTCCCTGGCAGTATTTAAAGGATGCATAGATGTGGCTCTTAGGGACGTGGTTTAGTGGTAGACTTGGCAGTGTTGGGTTAACGGTTTGACTCGATGATCTTAAAGGTCCTTTCCAACCTAAATGACTCTATGAGTAATCCAGCTAAGATGTTGCTAGCACGAGTAGGCTTAGAGAACATCTCTGGGCTATTCTCCCTTTGCATACCCACACAGGACTGCCTCAGATGCCTCTTCTTACTTACACCATCAACTACTCATTTCTACCTTCTCAGTGCATTTTCCAACTAATTTTGCATCCAACTTTTAGCATTTTCACTTCTTCCGTGCTTCCTTATTTGGTTTATGAGAACATTGTGTGCAACAGAGTAAAAACAGTAAGTATTAAAGTCAAGATATGTCTTATCCACTTTATACATACTTGACAAGGCAACCTGGCAACTGTTCTGGTGTCCAAAACTCATTACAGATTGCACATATTCTGTATTTTTGGTCAGATTTCTTCAATATAGAACATTACCATGCTGTCTGTTAGTATTTCTATATGAAATACAAATCTGGACTACAGATTAGGATCAGAGAATCTTACACCCAGTGTAAGGAGGATTTTGCTGAAGCACAGAGGGATGTCAGGAGTGACCCAGAGCATAACACGCACCTTCTGCTCATGTGGACTTCTAGTGGCATCTGATGATGGCAATTACACTCATGCTTCCACTGCAGTGTGGGTGGACATATTCCAAACGTACTTTGCTGTGTAATGACCTCAAAAAGTACCAATGGAGGGAGTCAGGATGTAGCACTGCCCCTGCAGAAGTGCTTTGGGGGCTTCAGAAAGCTAACTTCTCTTCCCCACCCTTCCATTACCAAAAGCTGCAACATTTACCATTTACACCTACAATTTACATGCTTTGGGCCACCAAATTACATTGAGCACAGCAGCCTGAAACCCAGCATAGCTCCCCGATACATGGGAAGTTGGTGGATCCATCCTCCTCTGAATAACCAGCCTTGGCCACATGAAAAGCGTGGCCAGCTCACTATTCTGTCTCTGAGAGCAGGCTGGGATGGATGCTTAAATAAGAATATAAGAATAGGTCAAGAATACGGAGATCCTTCCCCATGAATATATCCTCCCAGCTCCCAGCAACATACAGCTTAAGAATTTATTGAGTCAAATCTTTAAAGATCCGCCCCCCCCCAATTTTCTGACATCTTTTTGAGCACATCTACACTTCAGACATTCACAACGTCCCATGCGGCTGTGAGGATGGAGCTCCCACCTCCATGGCTGCAGAGAAAAGCCTGAGCAAAGTTTGGGAGCCAGAAACTCATTTTGGCTCTTCTCAGATACTGCCCACATGGTCCCACACAAGCTCCCCCTACGTGTATAGTAAAACTAACATGATTTGCCACTTTTTCAAGGGATAAAAAGACTAGTTAAAACATTTTGGCTGGTCAGAACAAGAACCAGAACAAAGGCTGGTTCTGTCTGGGATGGTAGTGCTGCTGATACCCTGTATTAGCTGGAGGATGTGACAGGGTAGAAGAGGAGTCAGCTGAATCTAATCTTTTATTCAGATCTGCAAGCCTGACAGCTCTCACCACTTGCCAGCTGGTGACAGGTACATTTAGAAAGAAAAAAATAAATCTTTTTTTGACATCCTCGCTTCTCTAACAAAGGAGCTATTTAAAAATTCAGCATGCTCCCTTGGAAAGCTTTAAATAGTTTCTGAATGTAACTGGCATTATGCTGTAACCCAATATTAAATAGTTTTGGGGAGGAATTGTTTAAATTGTTGAGGAAAACCTACATTTAAGTGTTACAAAGGAAAGGATGTGCTGCTATCTGGGGGAGGCACAGGGCTGTCACGTAGAAGGTTCTGGCCACCGCTAGTTTTCCTGGATCTGGACAAGTAACCAGAAAAGGTCCCTACCTCAGTCGGGAATGAAGAACACTGTTATCTTCACTGCACCATATCCTCTCTTTACACAACTTGAAGACATCTTGTCCTAATCATCCAGGCAGTATCAGGCTGGATGTAGTCTGCAGCTGCCAAAAGTTGGGAGAGTTTTGAGCTCTGAAGCCTCTGCTCTCCAAGCTCTCGCATGACCAGAAAATATGAAGTGAGAACAGAAGAGGAAGGGATAGGCACAGAGCAGGATTTCAGTTTGACATTTAAAATTACTTTCCTTTATGGATCATCAGAAATCTGTCAATCTCCTGTAATATTTTAAAATAAAAGCAGATCAAGCCAGAACCTCAGCAGATTTTTATTCACACTGAATAAATGTGCTATTCACTGCAGTAAGAAATTTAGTGTCCTGTTCAGCCTCCCCTTCCAGTATTTAGCATCCAGTGGTCACAGTGTGACTTCAAGCATTGCTCAGCTCTGCAAATACTGACTAGACAACAGAGAAATATTTCTTGCACTTAAAATCTGTTATTTTCTAGCAGGAATCATTACTCGGGCTCTCAATATGAACCCGAAAGCCACTATCAGATGCAGCAGTAATTAATTAACAACTAACAGTTTTCCAAAGTCATATTCCATGGAAAGCCACACTGGTAACAGCTTCTGATCCACAGCTATTCCCTTTTGTTTTCTTCTAAAATGTTTACTTACCCAAAGGGATTGCTGTGGAGAAACACTTTGCAGGTGAAAGCAACACACATTCAGACACAACCCAGGGAATAAGGCAGCTGAATGCCTGCTCTTAACTACTTAAAAAAAATTCCCTGTCACCATTAATAGGCTGGTGATGGGAGTAAGAGAAAAGAAAAAGATTGGTTGATGATGAAAATCTGCTTTTTCTCCCCTGAAAGACTGAATTGTAACAAGGGGCAGTTAAGAGAAGCTGACGCTGTACTTCCTTAGGGGAGTGAAAGATGCGCCACAGGTTGGGAATTCCTTACCAGACGCATCCCAAATCCCACTCTGGCTCTGACGAGTTAAAGAGGTTGCCCAGAATAAGCCACAGTGGAGGCCCAGAAAATAAGGGAGAAAATTCAACATTTTAATACTTTCTAAAAGAAACTGATAATGAATATTTTCTACCTCTCAAAAGGATAAAGAGATCAAATAACAACGTGTAAGCATCCTTTAAATAATGTATCACTCACCAGATCTATATTTTGCATTATGTCCTGGAAGGAAGGGTGAGTTCGAAACTGCTCAAACAGATCCCGCTTGTAAAGCAGCGCATACACCAAGTTTGGGTTGTGATGAAGAGAATTTGTCAGGCAGGAGTTGATGATCTCCAACATCATTCGGATTACTTCCTCGATCACATTCAGGTCTTGCGCCTTTAAGAAAGGAATAAAAGGTTAGTGTGCCCTTTTCCGTTGTAAAATATATTAGGTAATAAAGACAGAGCACAGGTAATTATTACTAATGGAGCTATTAGGTGGTTAACGTCTCAATGGTGAGCAAATCTGGCATGCCTGTATCGGGAAAGAGATCTGTTTTCTCCTGTAATAACCAAAATTTTAACCGAAATGCATTGCACTCTAGTATTCAGCTTCATAGCTTGATTCTCTCAACAGGAGCCATCTTCTCATGCCAAAAAGCATTAACATATTGTAGCCAGCCAAATTCACTAAGGGTTAAGTGAACTTAAGTCTTTTCAACCCTTCCTATGCTAAGTAAAAGCACTTCAGCATACATTTAATTTCATATATTTTCTGTTGAGCCCCTGCTTGGGGAGGAGGGATAGGGAGAAAAAGAAAGAAAAAAAAAAAAATCAGACAAAAAGTGGCTGGTGAAAGAGAAAAGCAAAGACAGGAGAAGGAAAACTGACTGGGATCAAACCCCATTCCACCTTGAACATTTGCCACCGTTCTCCAGACTTTGTCCTTGGCCTTTTTTTTTTTTTTCCCCCCATATTTTTTTGGCAATGAAGAATACTTGTAATAAATGAAAAAAGAAATCTCCTTTTGTAAGTGCACTAAGCCTTAATGCTCAAGATAAACTTGTAGAGCTTTTCACCTTGCCTTTGACAAAGCATTCCTGATGATTTTGAAACTCAAACTTTCTAAGCTAGCATGCGAATCCCTGCTAGCCTTCTGGATTTCTCTCCTTGGGCTGCACATCAGGATATGCCCGATATGGTTGTTGAGACCGGAGAGCTGTCTGTCCTCCCTTGGGGTAGGGTAAAAAAGGCAAATCTACTTTGTTCGTATCGTTAGGTCTCTCCACCACATCAAACGTTGGACCATGAGACTTTACAGGTCTGGCAAGAATGTGAATCATACCAAACCGGCTTGAGTTTTTCAGCTTAGTATGAACACTGAAACCACTGGCATTTCCTTTTGCCAACTGCCTACAAAGCAGTCGTTTTTCCGAGTTATCATAAGGCACTTAAATACTTCATAACGAGGCTGTATTTGCAACAGCATTTTCTTGGACTTTCAGTCAATCCGTACATAGCTGAGTTATTTTCTACTATAAGGTAATGTTGTAGGAATCGTCACTTGTCAGATACATGCTCTTACCAAAGCAGAACAGAATATGGGAACTTGTCATAACCCTGGTTAGACTCATATAAAGAGCAAAATTCTTTGCTACCGCTTTGTTCTGGCTACTTTCAGTAGGAAGCAAAGATACATTTCTTCCTGCAAGCGTCGATACGGCCCTGCAGAAGGCAGCATCATTCCTCTGACCTGCTCCTTCATCTCTTCCATGGTGCTGAGGACCGTGGAGAAGGGAGTGCCCATCCTCACACTGCTGCCGAAACACAGCAGCACCCCTCTAATCCGGTTATCCCCAGCACTTGTCTTCTGCATGTACAAAGGAGATTTAAGGGATGAAAGCCTTTTGAAATTCTTGTTTGAAGAACAATATTTGGTACACACGCTACAATGAAATTTTCTTCTTTAGCAATGATGCCTGACTGACTGTGGAGGTTACAGATTTTTTTTTTTCTGAATGTGAGGCTCTCCTCCTTTTTTTTTAATAGCTTTGTCTCAGCCACCTGAATAACCGTTGTAGCGTAGCTCACAATGTTGGCAGAAACCCTTGCAAAGCTGAGCACCGCAGCTACTTAGTCTGTCAATGGGATCGCATTCTTCTGTGACAGAAACAATCCTTGCATTCAAAACACAGGTGGTTCCTCCGTCTGTATTTCCTATAAAATAGCATCCCAGTTAGATGCTATGAAATGTGTATAATGCAAAATACTAGACAAAACCTGAAATAATTGCTTCAGCTGCAATCTGAAGAAAAAGCCAGATCTAGCTAACTCATCTGTGGAGTGGTACGTGCCTATCAACTTGGATTTAATTCAGAATATGGTATATTATGGTGGCTTTTAAAAAGCCCTGAGCATCGGCATAATTCTGTCCCCAGTGCAGCAGGATGACCTGGTGACTGAGACACTAGCCTAAAATACAGAATGCATTGCTTTTGCAGAAACATTATAATTCAGGATCAAGCGAAATCTATCCAGTTACCAGAAAGGTAACAAGTCACACAATTGCTTTTCAAAAACTAAATGCTTTTTAATGAAATATGTTCACCTGAAAACCCAGGCATACAGCTAGTTTAAACAGAAAACATTGCTAACCATTTCCAAACGTGTTATTTCAAGAAAAGGCAGACTCTGCTATTGGTCAGCTTCAAACAATTAGAAGTTACCAGAGGTTATTGCTCAATAATCATATTTAAAGTTTTTAGAAGCTGATGGACAGAACCAGCCATCTGTTTTTCAGCTACAGTGTTTGAGGTGAAGAATCTGGGACCCAAACGAAGAAAACCAGGAGCTGCAGTGAAGATTTTTACCCATAACTGACTATACCAAAAAAATAATTTATAGGAGGAACGAGCTCCATAAAAGACAGAGAAGTAGGACTGAATCCTAGTATTGCATATATGTTATCTGGAGAGCTGTACGCTCCTATAATTAGCAATTAAAGCATTTGTAAAGGCTTAAAAGTTTTCAAAACAGGAAAAAACAAGCAGAAAGCCAAGGACAGCATTTGGATGAGACAATGGAGAAACGCTGTAAGAGCTGATAAAACGCTGTGTGCTTTTGTTGCTCTGTATCACCAGTATCAAGCTTCGGCCCCTCTGCATCTAGACATGGCGTCACGACAGATATAAATAAGGTTACAAAAACATTTTGCAGTTGAAGAGAAGTTTATCACCCTGCGTATTAACTTTCAGACCAGCTGAACACAGCTGAAAGGCTGAACGTGTATGGCCAAGACAAGGACTACCACATCATCCGCAGAAACCTTGTAAGACTATTTTTTAAACTGAACTAGCTGTTATATGAAAAGAAAAGACAGATATTGATTTTGGGGGGACAGGTAGACAAGTTTCAATCTATTGAACAGTACATTTAAAGGAGAGAGGAGTTAGAAGTAATGGCATTTTCCTATTGCTTACAATTGACAAATTCAATGTGGCATTCGCATTCAAAATTATTACAGTATTCCTTTAAAAAACAGGGCTCAGCTGCCTCTGTTGATACTGATGAGTACCAGTCCTCCCCCGCCTTTTTTTTTTGTTTATGCCCATAGAAATAATTAAACCCATCATTAAAAGAAATGCGGAAGCTAAAGCTTGGTACCAACTTCCTGAGACTGAAATCGTGCCTACAAAAGGGATGGGAATGTAGGCACAACACTAACATTATTGTGGGTAATCCTACGTAACCACCTCATGGTTCCTTCTCAGGATAGGAATTAAATGTGGTAGTTTTTTGCAAAGATTTTCATTTTTAACGCAAAAAGCCAGATGCTTGGTCATGTTCTAGTTGCACAAGGAACAAACCAGCAGCGACAGCTACAGGAGATCCAGGTACAGTCTGGGTAGGCTGGGTCTCTTTTGTTAAAAGAAAAAGGAACAAACAAGTGATAATGCCAGAGAAAAGAGAATGGAAACAAGCTGAGACGATGCAGAGGAAAACAGGACGAGCACAAGAATGAGAACATTATCTGGAGAAAAATAATTTGAGTTTGATAAACACTAATAAGGAACACACAAACGTGCAAAGCCGAGGCAAACTACGGGCAGAGCTGGATGTTCTCACCTCTGACCATCCTGGAATACTGTTGCTTTCCTTACTGCAATATAATTAATAATTAGCATGACATCCTCCAGGGCAAAGGCTTCCAGAGAATTCAATACTTACTGCTGGAAAGACACTGATGTGTAAAAACAGTTGAAGGTATATGGCTTATAAAATATCAGAGAAGTGAAGCAGCCTAAAAGCCAAGCCCTGGGCAGATGCTTACAGTTTGGTTCCTTACAGGCATGGTTACCCACCAAAAAAAATAAAGCAGTTGAATCACTGTCAGCGGAGGATGCAAGACCTCAGCGTCACCAAAAACCTGCTTAATTTATGGTACCCATCTTCTGTTTCCTACACTGGAACATTCTGAGTGCTCATCCTTTTAATTTAATTTGACATTAAAGTGATTTTAATTTTTATCATAATAGAGAACTGATTTTAAAAGTTCTATTAGGAATGAATGCAAATCTCCAGCCTCTAAATGTTAGTAATTTTTAGGAGAAAAAGGGAGGCATGTCCATGTGTCATTCAGGTTAACTTTGCTTAACTATCCCTCACGGCTTGTACTGTCTAATAAAAAGCGAGACAAAATTATTCTGCCTTCTGCTTTCTAGTTTATATGGAAAATAACAGTTGGAAAATCAGAATTTCAGTCACTTGTGATGTTACGAAGAGACATTTCTACGCAAGGCTGGACACGAGGCTGTCTTTCATGATGCAATAAGCTTTGTATTAAGTTTTGGAGAAAGAAACACTTTTTTTAAGATGTCTCGTTGAAGCCATTTTCTCTGCGATTGCAGCCTGCGATCTCAGCAGCCCACTTCAGCCATCCTTTGGCGGCTGCATGAGATGTGTCATCACCCGATCTGAGTGCTCCTGTCCCCGCTTTGGCTCTGAGCCGCGGAGAAGCCCCTCACTTGAGCCTGGCTCATCTTTTGACCCTCGGTCCTGGGGACAGGCTACAAGCCGAGCGCTGCCCCGTTTCGGCATGGTACCCGGGGTATTTCATAGCACGGATGCCAGCTGGATGGTGCTAGATTTCTTCATGACATTCTGCATTTTTGACCATTTACCCAGAAAGATGGCAAAGATCTGCTGGACGCTCGGCTACAGCATCCCACCAGGGCCACGCAACCTGAGCTGGATTAACTGTTCAATTGCCAGCCACCAGTTACCAGCAGTGACAGTACAGCTGAAATCAAGGAAATATTGAAGTCTTGATTTCAGGGCGAGGAATGAAATAATTACAGTTTTCTTTAGGCTAAAAATTTAGCCTTTCAATACTTAAAG